CACAGCCACAGCCTGGTGCTAGGGTCCTGGGCAGGGAGATAAGAAGAGGTTTATCATCACAATAAAGGATGAGAGCCTAGAAATGAATCAGAGGGCAGAGCCGCACACGTGTGCGTGCGGATTCACCGATTTAGTGCTGGGAAGGCTCTGGGAGGGAGCTTGGGTCCAGCCCATTTCACAGATGGGAAAACCAAGGCTGCGGAGGTAGCCCTACGTACTGATGGCAGAGCCGGGCTGGAGTGGAATGTCTAGGTGACCGGATCCCCCCATTTCCAGCTCCAGGCCCACTGCCACCCCGCCTGTTCTGTGCGGTGGGCCCCCCGAGGCTTTCCTTTGAGAGAACAAAAATCAAATTAAGAAGCTGCCTCTCTCTGGCTCAGCCTGGGAGGCCCTGCCGCCTTGAATCGGTAATTAAACGTGGAAGAGCCTGTCAGGGGAGGGAGGGAGCTGCTCCCAGGGCTGCTGGGGACCAGCCTCTTTTCTCCCTGAAAGCTGCTGGAGGGCAGGTTGGAGGCCCCACCTCAGATCCAGTAACAGGACCCGGCCCTTTCCCATCCCACAGGCCAGGGGCCCTGGGTCCCTGGCGGCAGCAGCTCTAGTAGATTCTAGAGCAGGACAGCACGGGCGAAGAAAGCGAACAGAACTGGCCCCTTCGGAGATGGGCGGGCACAGAGCGTTCACAGTGGGGCCCAGACGTGGGCGGAGGTTCTGGACCCCCTGGTCAGCGGGGTCAGTGGTAGCCAAGACCCCCTTTGTGCCAGGTCTGGGTGGGGCGTGAAGCAGACCGTATACACTGATGGGAGGACACACCTGGAGATTCTGCTTCCCCGTGGCCTGGACTCCCAGCTGGTCATGGTCCTGCAGCAGGAGCCCCACCCTCCCCAGAACCCCCATGAGGAAGGCCAGGCCCCTGGTGGGATAGGAATCCAGAGTGACCCCTAGCCTTAGCTGGTTTGGCTCAGTGGATAGAGCACTGAACTGTGGACTGGAAGGTCCCAGGTTCGATTCCGGTCAAGGGCACATGCTTGGGTTGCAGGCTCCATCCCCAGTAGGGGGTATGCAGGAGGCAGCTGATCCATGATTCTCTCTCATCATTGATGTTTCTATCTCTCTCTCCCTCTCCATCCTCCCTGAAATCAATAAAGATATATTAAAAAAAAAACACAGCCCTAACCGGTTTGGCTCAGTGGATAGAGCGTCGGCCTGCGGACTCAAGGGTCCCAGGTTCGATTCCGGTCAAGGGCATGGATCTTGGTTTCGGGCACATCCCCAGTAGGGGGTGTGCAGGGGGCAGCTGATCGATGTTTCTTTCTCATCGATGTTTCTAACTCTCTATCCCTCTCCCTTCCTCTCTGTAAAAAATCAATAAAATATATATTTTTTTAAAAAACAAAAACACACACACAGAGTGACCTGTAGGTCTGGAGGCCTGGCTGGGAGTGGGGTGGAGCCACTTACTGAGCTGGAGCGGGTGGGGGTGGAAGGGCAGTTGGGCGCAGTTCCGGTGCCCAGTGGAGGCTCAGGCTGGAGTCACCAGGAATGAAGGGCCCGCGAAGCCCTGAGACTGGGCAGGGTCTCTTAGGAGAGAGGCCCACGGAGAAAGCAACCTGCCGACACTTGACCTCAGACCTCCAGCCTCCGGAACTGTGAGAAACCAATGCCTGTTGCTTAAGCAGCCCGAGCTGCTCTTCCCACACAGGTGCCCCCGAAGCTCTCATATGCGGGGCCAGGTTGCAAATCCACACGTGGACCTGCAGCCTCTGTCCCCACCTGCTCCCTTCCCCTCCCGCGCCCCCTCCCCCTCGCTTCACCCCAAGAGGAACTCCAACTGGGCAGAGCAGGGCGAGCTTGGGCTCTGGCCACTGCCACCGCTCGCCACAGCCCCGAGCAAAGTCTCGAGCCGAGCCTCCGTTTCCTCGTCTGTAAAAGTTCTCTCAGGAAGGCGCACTTGACAGGTTATCGCGTGAGGATCTGGGAAGGTGGCAAAGGGCCTGGCTCTGGGCAGGATCCATGCTGGGCGCTCAGCGAATGGTGGCTGTTGCTTTTACCATCTCCCACCAACCTCATCTCCTTCTCTTCTACCCAAGTCTGTTCATGGAGCCGCCACGCTGGGGCCTTGGCCGGCCTGCACACCTGCTTCCCCTCACCTGCCCCATATCGGGTGTCTGTTTGCTTCATTAGCTCGACAATCCCCCCAGGCACTGACTCACCGATAGCCACTGTGGTCTGCAGAGGAGCTTGACTTATCGGCTGCTTATCCGCGTAAACAAATTGGTTTTTACACGATCAATTACGATATACAGGGATGTGTAGGGGGGAGGGGGGTCCTTACGCCTCGTGGATTACCCTCCTCCACTGGCCTCTCTCCTCTGACACCCAGCTGGCTGCACGACTGTACACAAGGCTTCCAGAGTTTTCTTTCTTCGGCAAAACCAGGCCTGATCCCTCCCGGCTTAACCCCCTCCCAGGGCTGCGCCTGCCTTCCATCCAATAGGCCCAGTCCCCTGCGCATGGTCAGCCTCACCCGGGCCTT